TTATGCAAACATTAAGGACCCCTAGAGGATTAACAGACCGGAGTTAAACTGGAGGCTTTTGATTACGTTGCAGTGTATAAGGCCACGCCACCTTAATTTTATGGATGACATCCTCTGAAGACCCACAAATTAGTGCGCTCGGGGGAATAAAAAAAAAATTCCGGCCAAAAATAGAAATGCTACTAAACCACAGGAATGCAACGCTGGTATTATGAATTTGCGGCAGTACATGCCGGCGTATTCGACAACCCGGCACATGCTGGCTTTTTGCGGAATGTATGAATCGGCACTGTACGTGTGTACTGAGTTCTTGTCTCGTGGACCTTCGGCAGCCTGGATGCCGTCATCCAGAGTTACCACCGGCTCCGTATTGTCGCTAAGGCCATGTTGATTTGATTATATGGATGACATCCGCGCGCGCATGAATTTTCGGCCGTTTCCAAAAAAAAAGTTTTCAACCATACTGTAAATCGTACAAAACAGTTGCAAAATGAGCACAAATATACCGTAAGTTACAAAAAATAAATAAATAAAAACCATACCAATGTCGTAGAATGCCAAAATCAAACGAAAAAAGACGAAATTGAAGAAATGAACTTGAAGACTAGATTATTCGTCAAACCATATTCTGTCCCATTTGTTCAACCCTCATGACAAAGAAGATTTCATAATGAAGACACCTTTTTTTTTTGCAAAACTTTTTTTTATTCGCACGCGCGCATCAGTTTTGGGGTTCCCGGAGGATGTCATCCATATAATCAAATCAACATGGCCTAACTACCATGGACTACCCAGGCCTAGCAGAGCCTCGGAGGACGTGATCTTTTTTTCAGAACAGGCGAAGATCAATGCGCGCGCGGATGCCATCCATAAAATTAAGTCGGTGTGGCCTAAGGTAGACAAAAGATGATGGTTTAAATACTACTTAAGTAGGACATGAAACACAGAAGGATGTATTATTTTCCAACAGACCACATTCTTATGAACATAAATCAACACGTATTTGTAAATAATTGTATTTCAATGCTGTTTTATCATGAATCCACGGGCTAGTGGTATACACTTCACAAAATGTAGATGGTACTTAAATAACGGACTTCACATACATGAGTAGAGAATTGTAACGCCCAGAGGGGCGCGACTAGATGGAAATATAAGAAAAGGTCTTGAATGAGGAACCAATAAGAGAAAACTGTTGTTGCGAGAAGTGTGAAAAATAAAAAAAAATGTGACCAAGGAGATGATTGTCAGTTTATTTAATGATATGAGAGCAAGAAATACACGTAACTCACCAAACTGGTGCGTTGTACCTGAAAAGTTCACTGTTATTTATTATACATGATAAATGTCTACCGTATCTCTTCACTTAAAACAATAAAACATACATGCACGAAAAAAAAATTTGTACAAAGGCATAGACACATTGTCAAACATATACGGAAATTTATGGCAACTTGTCGATTTATTTCATGATTTGGCATACTCAATACAATCGTCTTTCCACAATTTACTTACCGGAACGACAAGGTCAGTTCTGATGAGGAGATCAGGGGTAACGCCATACTTCTCTTTTTTAATTTTAAATTTATTACATGCATACATACATACATACATACATACATACATTCATACATACATACATACATACATACATACATACATACATATACATACATACATACACACATGCATACATACATACATACATACATACATACATACATAAAAACATATATACATACATATATTACATACATACATACATTACATACAATGCATACAGTACAGACATTACATACATACATACATACATACATACATACATACATACAAACATACATACATCAATACACGAAAACGCCCAAGGAAAACACTGTCCGTTTTAACTGCGTGACCAAATAAATGATCAACCTAACAATTGAAATATATATTGGCATACATGTAAGGGCCGAAAAACCTCGGGATTTATCTTAGGCTCTGCCAAATACTACAAAATTAAAAGATAAATTACCGTTATTAATAGATAAATTAAATTTGAAATAAATTCAATTGAAGTTTTTTTTCTAAAATTCCAGTACATACGTGTACAAATAGAAAAGCAGTTGGATGGATGCTATACGAGGTTGCTGAGAACTGCACTCAACATCCACTGGTCACAACATGTTACAAAAAGGGATCTTTACGCCGACCTACCAAGACTCTCTAGCAAAATTAGATCAAGAAGGCTTAGGTTTGCAGGACACTGTCACAGGAGCAGAGAGGAGATTGTGGCCGAGCTGGTACTGTGGACTCCCAAGCATGGGAGGAGGAAGGCCGGCAGACCGGCTGTAACCTACATAGACTGCCTCAGGAGAGACACTGGCCTGGAGGTGGACTGCTTGGGTCAAGTGATGGAAGACAGAGAGTGTTGGGCAGCCATTTTGTCTCGAGGCAAGGGACACCAGGACTCGACATAAGCATAAGCGAGTGTATCAATCCAGACACAACCTAAAGAAAGAGATCTAGATTTTCTGTAGTATAAATACTAATTAGCACAGTTCGTAATACTTCTCCATTAATATGATTAAGGTGATCCCGATGCTCCTAACGTCTAAAGATCTGGTCAATAGACAACACTGATTGTACTACTATCATGGTGTAGAATATATTAAAGACAAAAATATAGAAATTGGTTAATAGTATATGAAGAACAAAAAAAATCTCTGAAGTCCTAAATTTTAGACGTTTCCACTTATACATTTAAAAGCTACACCAACATCTACTTTAAGGTGCGTAATTTTCACTGATTCCAAATTCAAACATAAATTTTCCTTTTTTGTTTGTGTTTTCAAACACTAACAGTATATAATTAATAAAATTACATTTTGAAATGTAAAGCCTACCTTATTCCGGTTTTGATATCTCATGTTTTGGACATGCTAGGGTCACGAATTTTTATTGGTAGATAGCTCTTGGGGTAGGAAAGAAGTGACATGAGTTCGGGTCCCCTAGCGCCTTGTTCTGGAACTGCAGGAGCATTTGTTGAAAAAAATTGAAAGGACGATAACTTAAGAACCGGTTGACCTATTGTCGTATTTTTGGTATGTAGGTAGTTGAAGTGATCGGATGGCAATTATGCAAATCAGGAGCTAATTTGCATAATTAATGAGGAAATTCTATAAATCTGCTTTGTTCGATTATAGAACTATGAAACACTTGTGACATCTACTTGAGAACGAGAAAAACATCTGGGGATATAGATTATGTAAATGAAGACCTAATTTGCATAATCTATGGCAAATTCTTATACAGTGCTCTCCTGTTATTTGCATGGACGATTTGTCAGGGAATTTTATTCCTATAACTGGTTTAGTCCAATAACCTTAGGAGAGTCCACACGACTGACAGGGAGGGGAGGTCAGTTGGTTATGGATGATACTGGGCTGGGGCCAATTGAAGCAACCACAAACATGATGTTATTGCATATTGGTATTTATATACTCACTTTCACCCACAACTACATACATGTACCATATTCTAATCTTCAAGTCGCATTCAGAAACTCATAATGAACAGGGCTAACATGGAGATAGAAGATCAGACACATTCCACCTTCATACTGTCTACCCCTGTGTTTGGCAAAAGCTTACCAAACCTAAAACAACAGCCCAATCAAGGACACCAAAAAGGAACAAAGGACTTCTTCACACAATCATCATTGAGTGATTGGGGGTTCTCACCTGTCCAGAAGGAAGTGACAACAGAGAAAGTGTATGACAATGGAGGGTGCAGGGGTGATAATGAATGAATAACAATGGACTTCATGCGGATTTGCTGATGCGCAACAAATTACATGTATTTCTTTCACGTACTTCTGGGTCAGTGTGCCATTGACTTGGAAATATTTTAGTCCAATATCAGGTTAAAGTCATAACAGCTCATGCATTTATGCCATGCAATTTATAATGTAGTGAATGGGAAATGGTTTGGGTTTTCAGAATTTTATGCAGATCCCAGGTTTATGCCAATGTCAGTGATGCAAATAGTTGGTGAGCACTGTATTTCCATAGTTGTAACTGCTGCACCCCGAATTTCATACTCGTTTTCCTATAAAAACTCTTATATGTGTCGCTTTGCGTGTGTCATGTGAACTGCAGCCGACGCACAGTACAGGCCGTACCAGGATCCACTAATCGACCTCGGCCAAACAAACATGACTTCCTAATTCAAATTCTCAAACCTTATCCATTTCTCTAAAAATTCAGAACAGTTTTCACCTCGCTGCCCTGTACAAAAGAATCTCTGCAGCTTTCGCAAGTACTGTGCTGCACTACTTTGTGCCCGAACTACTTTTGAAATACTGTATTATGCGACCTTTATTATGACTATCTCTTGTCACGTGATAATCAACATCAAGTCACTGCACTCACTTCACTAGCCTGACTAAATCTGCGCTCCTAGCGGCCGGCCCGGAATTACACCAGCGCCCCCCCCCCCCCCCCCGAAGTTGAAGGTAGCAGAACACAGTTTTCGCCCTATGGGGATTTCTATAGTTAAGGACCCCAAGATGACTCACTTCGACGCGGTAAAAATTATAGCAGGGTGCACTTCACTAATACGGAAATCGAACATGTTTGAGAAGAAGGTACAAACTACTCTAGAAACCAAAAAATCCTGTCGGCGTATCTGCTCGTAACGTACACTTTGAAATCGCCTCCTACGGACGTGACCTGAACTGCAGCCGACTCACCCGGAAAGCCAGTTGCACAATACGGCGCATTTATACACGAACTGCAAAACCTTCACAAATCAAATCATACAGTCTCAAACCCGATACATTTCTACACCACACAGCACAATTTACATCTGGCTGACGCTCTTATCAGGCTTTCTACCCAGCCTTCAAGAATATTCGCTGCACTACTTTCTATACCCGCGTCATCGTCCCCGGGGTCGCCCATTAATACTGTGACCTGCTACCTTCTGGGGGCGGCTGGTGTAATTCCGGGCCGGCCGCTAGGAGCGCAGATTTAGTCAGGCTATCACTTCACGTGACAAGAGAACTCCGAGACGAGATCTTTACCGGGTTGAAGAAGAGATTCAGCGTCTCAAAAGCTAACATTCTGTTGTGTGTACTTTCTGTTGTTTAAAAGTATTTGTCAAAATGCAATATTTTTTATTGCTCTTTGTTGCTGCGTCCGTGGTCTCGGCTTTTTTCTCTGCCATACCCGGAAGTAAGAACACAACCCAGCCACACATCGTCTTCATCGTGGCGGACGACTTAGGTAAGGTAGATACTGGAAACAGTAAGATACCTCCTCTGTTTTTGAGAATTTCTAGCGATTCCAGTAGTAGTATGTCCATGTTGCACTGAATACATTTTAGTACTCGTCTAGTATGGTATTATACTGAACAAAGGTTAATTCTAAAATACTACGTAAACAGTACGTACGGTTGGGTTTAGCGTATAGGACGAACATTCGGTATAGGTTTGAGAGCTTTCACATAATAGTACAGTATACATGTAACAAACAGTCAAAGTCTGCGTGCAATTGTATGTTTTGGATAATTCCGTGAGGTGTTTGGATTTTAAGCAGGCATGTAACGCAAATAATGACCTTTCGGTCGTCTCGTGAAAGTAATGACCTAACGGTCATGCCATGCTTATAATGACCTAACGGTCAGGTAACGCAAATAATGACCTTACGGTCGTGTCGTGAACGTAATGACCTAACGGTCATGCCATGCTTATAATGACCTAACGGTCAGGTAACGCAAATAATGATTGAATTGGACTGGATTGTGTGTAAACTACATTTGATCCCACCACTGCCATTATACAGAACTTTATTGACACAAGAAAAGTACAGCAACTTTCGTAAGGTCTAAAACTGCATGTAGATATACAGACAAATACATGGGTACAACGAAATTAACCTACGTAGAAAACAATATAATCCAGCGGCATAGCTGGCAAAATCAGCTGAATTGTGCACTTTTGTCTAAAAGCACCAAATTTGGCACAAATGTAGCTAAATGTATTGTAAGCAAATTTGGATATGGAGGCATTTCCATTTCTGCCCAGGAGCGCCGTGACGTCATCTTGAATTTAGAACCCCCAAAATAGGCGAAGCGTTCTAGTGCCTTAATTAAGGGGGAGGGGCAAAAAATTAAACATCAATATTTCTTTCTGAAAATTTATATGCCAACATAAATTACTACAAGGTACACAAATCTGTTAATTTTGTTTCAATATTGCTCTTCTGGAAAAAATTATGAGCCTTTAAATCCCATTTTTTTAGTAATTTTTGCCTAAAAAATGGATGGTTTACTTTTCATCACCAGGCAAATTTTTCTGGTACGTATGGGACCTTTGTTAATATGCAAATCTGATTAGACACAGTATGGGCAACATGATGTTCTTTAAATGGAGAAAATCCGTCCACTCTAACAGGAGATATGAGATTCTATAGATTATTACCCTCACACACATGTTGCCTGAAAAGCGGTTGCTAAGGCCGTTGCTAAGGAGATTTTCTGACCAAATCATGTACATTTTGGGCCTCTATGCCCTCGTTTTCTAACATAGTTACCTCAAATTTGGTATGAGGATGCGTGTGAGGGTAATAATCTATAGAATCTCATATCATGCTAAACTCTCGGCTTATATGTAAACAATTTCGTCTTCATTTCCCTTTTTTAAACAGTTTAAACAGGATGTAATCTCGTTATTTTGTTTGCAGAAATCTTTTTTTTTTTCAAACTTTCAGGCTGGAATGACGTAGGCTGGCACAACCCTGACGTCAAAACACCTGTTCTGGACCAGCTGGCGCATGATGGCGTCATCCTCAACCAGACTTACGTCAATTACGTCTGCACACCGTACGTTCTTTTTATATTTCAACATGTAATCACAAGACGTGGTGACGGCACTCAAGTTTTATCAACTTATATTAATGCCGCCACCAACACAGGGGGCAGTACAATACTAATTTTGTACTTGAGCGAAGTGAGGAAAGTCGTGTAAAGTGCCTTTCCCAAGGGCACAAGATCGGTGGCATGTCAAGATTCGAACCCGGGACCTCTTGGTCCTGAGCCGAATACGCTACCGCTACGCCATCCGACCCCAAACACCTTACCTTTCGTCATTTCTTTCCGTGGAAAAAATAACAGAATCATATTCGTAGCTAAACCACAACAAACACGATGGTCAGATTTGGGCCCAAAAGTCCCAATCCGCTACTATGGAGATCGAATCCCCCGAACCCGCGAATCTTGTTCGATATGACGTCATTCGAATAGAGCGGGCGTTCGATCCGGGGTTACCCGCGGTCATTTACAGTAAAGCCGCTACAACCGGCTACTTCAAGCCCTTTTTTACTTGGGAACCACGGAACAGGAAAAATCCACCTTTCCACAAATATGAACCGTTTTCAAAACATTACATCTATGCCGTGATTTTATTGTGGATATGTAACATGTAACGAAGCTACTGCCGTCATCGTGGGTGACCTTAAAGGTCAGAATTCTTGTATACGCTGTTATAAAATCCAGGTCCCCATATCCAAGTGTCATAGCACGCGTGCAAACATGGTATTTTAACCATTCCCAAAAATCGCTCAAATTACCTCATTGAGGGCTTGTTTGGAAGAGCAACGATTTCCGCAGATTTCTGTCTTAGGGATTTTTTAAATATGGCCGCGATTATGAATTATCGGTATTTAAAGTTAAAACACTGCGTTTTTAGCTGTTCTTCTGACTGTAAGTCGAGTTTTAGTTAAAAAATAAAAAATCCTAAGACAGAAAGTTTAAATTTACTGTAATATTTCTAAAAATCCAAAAATCTAACCTTATTTTTAATTTTCGGGGCCTCTTGAAATCAGTTGTTTTGTTCTCGTGAACCCTTTTTGAAATCCGAAATTGATCTCATTTGGAAGCAAATGTACACAAAGTGGAGCAAAGGCCGTGCAAGAATAACATTTGAGGTAAACAAAATCACTTATTACATTTTATTTTGACGAGTATTTACTATCCAATTACTTTTGTTTATTTTCAAATTTTACCCGTTGCCCCCGGGCCGGCCTGGGACTCCCGCGCGGCCACGTTCGAACGCGTTCTGTAACCCGATACCTCCCTAGTAATGCGACTTTTAGCCTAGCAACCGACCGCCGTGAAAATTAACCTTATTTATCACAATACAAGCTGAAGTGAATTTACCTACAATACGTTCTATAGAAAATGATAAAGCAGAAAACAGATTATTTATGTTTTTATTTCCGAGAGACAATACTTAACAAACCCTTGGTATAGCAGTAGCATTTTAATGATTTTGCAACATTCGTTTCTTTATTACGAAAGGGTTAGGAAGCCAAATTTCACTTTTTGACCAGCCTGATATGACTTAAAAAAAGACGATTAGGTAAAATCTATACGCAAAATTGTAACAAGTTGAACGTAATAGTTAAGGTCTGATAAGTGTGTAGTACCTGTATCGGCCGGTAAGTGGCGCACATAGTTTAGATCTGACCAGTAATGCCGTACCTGTACACGCCGGTAGGTGGCGCACAGCAGATTTCGCTACAGCAGTTTTCTAGGTTCTGTTGTACATACATTATAATGTTGTCAATACATTATAATGTATTTGTTATACCTCCGTGATTGGGGTACCTTCGTTTAGCATGTGTTGTTTTATATTAGTTTGCGGTTCATGTTAGGTTCTGGGAGGTATGGGCCCCTCTTTGTGTGTTTCATAATCACACTATCATTTTGTATTTAACAGGTCCAGAACAGCCTTTATGACTGGATACTTTCCTTACCATGTTGGTATGCAGGTGAGTCGTGTAATATTTTCGTATACGGGTAGCATTAAAGCATTATCGTATCATATTTGTTTCGTAGACAGAACCAGTCCGAACAATATTGTGAGGAAGTATTTGCGCTTACGTGAGTGACTATTTTTATTGCGTATGTATTCTCTGCTATTTTGGTACCCTGGGGGCCAGACTCGTTAGGCGGCGGGAGGAGAGTTTACGCGCGCGGTCTAGCCTCCGTAGCAGGCTTATAGAACTGGGGGTTTGGTGGTCTTCGGCTGTTCTCTGAATAGCCCCCTAGCAGGCTTATAGAACTGGGGGTTTGGTGGTCTTCGGCTGTTTTCTGATTAGCCTCCGTAGCAGGCTTATAGAACTAGGGGTTTGGTGGTCTTCAGATGTTTTCTGATTAGCCTCCGTAGCAGGCTTATAGAACTTGTGGTTTGGTGGTCTTCGGCTGTTCTCTGATTAGCCCCCTAGCAGGCTTATAGAACTGGGGGTTTGGTGGTCTTCGGCTATTCTCTGATTAGCCTCCGTAGCAGGCTTATAGAACTTGTGGTTTGGTGGTCTTCGGCTGTTTTCTGATTAGCCCAGTTCTACCGGGGTAATTCAACCAGGTCGGCTATGTTGTCTATATGCAATAAATAAATAGCACATAAAGCTCCAAAAGACCCTGAAGACCCCCCAACTCCCAGTTTTCGGCATGCTATGGAGGCTACGCGCGCTCGGGTCTTGGTTAGGTCGTCCCGACACACGCGCTCCGCTGTGCCCCATGATGTGGGGGATTGGGTCTCGTGCCTAGATGCGTAACCACTATTACTCAGATAGCTTGGGTACCCGCCCCTACCGCGAATGAGTGATAACCCCTTAGGCCAGGGAAGCCATACGCCCCCGTCGGACAACCCCGATTTGGCACCCTGGCTCAAATCATCTTTTGGGGCAGCCTGTGTTTGGGAGGCGGATACAGTAGCGGACATTAGGGCTTCTTCCCACCAAAAAAAAAAAAATCTATCGCTTATGAACGCCAGCGTCTGGCACCCAGGTTATTATCCAGATAGTGATAGTGGTTATACTCTCCAAGCAGAGGTTGATGGGGGAAGATCGTTTTCTTTTTATATATGGCCCGTTTTTTCTTTCTTTTTTTGGTCGCTACCCCCACCAACGCACGGTAGGGGTAGCGACAAAAAACGGGCGATATATAAAAAGCGACAAAAAATGGCCATATATCCACTGCCTTCAAAGAAGAAGTCAACCCCCATAATAGCTAGCGTAGTAGTAGAAGTAGAAGTTTTTTTTCTGACTAGTAGTTGTCTGTCTACTCTTATTTTATTGTGCCGAATAGTGACTTTGACCGTGAAAGCAATTAGCTGCATGATTTTGCAAATAAAGATTATATAAAAAGCAAAAGATCTTCCGCCATCAACCTCTCCTTGGAGAGTAAGTGGTTGCACAAGCTCCCTAGGTACAGAGTAGCCTAGGGCGTTGCCGAATATCATATGGGGCATGGCGGATCGTGGGGAGGGCGTGTGTCGGGGGGGGAGCTAACCCAGGCCCGAGCGCGCGCGTAAACTCTCCGCCCGACGAGTCTGACCCCCAGGGTGCCCGACGAGTCTGACCGAGAGGGTGCTATATTTTGGATGCTTTAACCTGAAATTCTGTTGGACCAGCGCTCAGGTTATGGTCTGGAAACAGCCGCATCTTTATTTTGGATGAGGACGTTATGCCAGTGGCCATTGTAAGAAGGAGCTTATTCAGTGCGTCAAATCACTGCACGTAAAATATTCCAACACACTTAGACCATGTTGATTTGATTATATGGATGACACAAAACTGATGCGAGAGTGCGAATAATAAAAAAAAAGTTTGGCCAAAAAATTGCCTTTATCATGAAATCTACGTGGTCATGAAGGTTGAACAAATGACACAGAGTATGGTACGGCGAATAATCTACTGTTTAATTTTTTTTCTGTACATTTTCGTCTTTTTCGTTTGATTTTGGCATTCTACGACATTGGTATCATTTTCCGATATATTTTTTGCACCTTGCGGTATATATTTGCTCATTTTGCAACTGGTTCGTACGATGTACAGTACGGTTGAAAACATTATTTGAAACGGCCGAAAATTAATGCGCGCGTGGGTGTCATATAATCCATATAATCAAATCAACATGGCCTTATCGTGAAGAATATGGTTGTCCCAGTGTGTTTGGCTATAAACCGGGGCTATAGCGAACGAAAAAGTGTAAAATATATTCATCATCAAGCCTCCGGATTATCTAATCCGGTGAGGTACACCTGATAAAGTTACTCCAGTATGTCCTGTCCCTCATAGCAGACACTAATGCAGTTCCCGCAAGACCAGTGTCTCTCTCTATAACATTAACAAAAGTGTGGTACATGTATAAGGCCGTCCCACTCTACGTCTCCCAGTAGGAAGCCACTGTACTAGTCTACCAGCTGGTTCGTTACTACGAACAACATGCCCTGCCAGGGCGAGTCTACGTCGTCGGACTGCAGATGAGATGGGCGGGTGTGAGCCATAGAATTGTTTGTTTGTTAGATGTTGTCTCCATTAACCCTATCTAGACCGGGCTTTTTTTTGGCTTGGTGGGACCGGGGGGGGGGATCATTTGATCCCCCCTCAGAACTCGAGAACTGTATGTCGTATGACCACCAAATTTTAGAGGATGGTGTACTAGTTCAAAATTTTCATAACTTCAATTTGTATGTCATTATGACGTAATATGACGTCATTATGACGTCATTATTGTGATTTTATTGGCCAAAACCGACTAGATAGGTTATTCACTGGAAACTAAATGGTATACAACATAACTTTACCAAAAGTGTTTATGACAGAATATTGGGGTGTACTACGTGCCCATAGCAACAACAGTGACGTCATAAAATGACGCCATGCATATTTAAGCTATCCGCCATTTTGGATCATCAATTTTGAATTTTCAAAAATAGTTTTTTTTTTTCAGGATAAAGCCTAAAATGCAGACTAAAGACGTTCATATGAATCTTTTTTGTACAAAGAAATGGAAGTATCGATGAAATTTCAAGAAAAATATACCTGTTTTATGATATGGTCCGCCATCTTGGATTTTGGACAATGACATCATCAAATTAGCATACATTATGCATGTTAATCATAAAATTTACATAAAATTATCTGGGATGTTATTGATATTAGAAATTATGTGTAACTTGACATGAAACCCATGAAATTCTATTGTTGAAACTAAAATTACTAAATTTAGCAAAAAATGCCTGTCAGAAACCCGCTGTCATGGCAACACAAAAATTTATTATATTATTCAAATGATACAGAATTGTTTTCAGCAATATTTTAGGAAAAGTCAACAAGTTTGGTCGTTTAAGCCCTAGCCGTTCAGACGCTACTTGACATCAAAGTTGGCGCGGGTACTTTTAGCCCCCCCCCCCCCGGTCCAGATAGGGTTAAACATTATACACTGTTCTTAACATTCTTTTCTATGTTCCACCCAGTTTCTTGTCAAACATATTAGACTCTAGCAGAAAATATGTGAGGTTTATGTGTTGTGTTTGTTAGCACATGGCCATGCTTCCGGCGCAGCCGTCTGGCGTCCCGTCACATTTCCCCTTCCTACCGGAGAAGCTGAAGGAGTTGGGGTATGCTACTCATGTGGTGGGCAAGTAAGTTTGTTATGTTTTTTTTTCTATTCCAACATGTAATCACCACACGCGGTGACGACACACTCAAGCTTTTTCAACTTATATTAATGCCGCCACCAACACAGGGGACAAATACATTACAGGACAATACTCATTTACACCTGAGCTAAGTAAGGAAAGTCGTGTAAAGTGCCTTTCCCAAGGGCACAAGATCGGTGGCATGTCAGGACTCGAACCCGGGACTCTTAGTTCCGAGTCGCGCACTCTACCGCTACGCCACACGACCCCACGATAAGTTTGTTATGTTGCTATGTAGATCATGTAATATAGATCATGCTGACGTATTTGACCAATAGAGATAATGCTTAAAATTCGCAATTCAGCCTCTTTGCATATTAGGAAAAGAAGCTGTCATTTGTTTTGATGTAAAAGGAACGAAGTCAATAAACACAGTATGTATACAAACTTTTATGTTACCGTAATTATAAATAAATATATATAATTATAAAGGCCGTATAAAGGCTGCGACTGCACGGGTACTGTTTGGACAATAAAAAAAAAATTAAAAAAACAAACTATAGATTACATCCTCGTGCCCGTAGCCCGGGTTTTGAAGGAGGGGGGGGTATTCCCACTGTCTGAGAGACCAGCGAGCGCCGTAGACGCGAGTCGAGCGCAAAAGTTGCGAGATTCCTATGAGGTTCGGGAAAATTTGAATCTCCCGAAATGGCAATTTAAGTTTTTCAAAGGAAAACCTTTCCTGACACATTTCATATTTCCTCTCTAATGATGTTTGCAGTAATGCAGAGTTGAACTAATTGAAACCGATCCGTAAAATACCCAGGCCCCGGCGCGTCCGTATGTACCTGGGCGGGCGGACAGTGCTCCCAGCACCGTGGGGATACCTGGAGCCTACGGTGGTCTGCATGTAGTGGGCTTGTTAGATAATGAAATGAAATAAAATGAAATACCTTTATTGTACATTCATGCCACGACGGGCTAGTTACAGGTCAAGACTTAACAGACACATAACAAACGCATGTAGAAAAGACAGAAGATACACTACTTGAATTAGCCATACATACATAAGGAACATACAAAGGTACTATACTAGGCTTTTAATACAAAGTGTTCTAGTTATTGAGCTAATACAGAGTGGTCAACTTCTTCTCGCTTTTTTTACTCAGTCTGATTATCTGTTTAACAGCCGGCCGAACCACAATTATCCATTGATTGCCTTTCCCGTAGTGTTTTTAAGGTATACTGCTTTCCTGTGACTGTATGTCTAATACCCTTCTAATTACCTTCGCCAAGAAGGTTATGTTTTCGTAGGCGTTCGTGTGCCTGTGTGTGTGTGTGTGTCAGCACGATAACTCAAGAAGGCTGAGATGGATTGTCTTGATATTTGGTAGGTGGATAGGTCTTCATGAGACGTGGAACTGATTAGACTTTGGACCCCCTAGCGGCTTGTTATGGTACTGCAGCTGAACTTCCGGTTTTGATATCTCGTGATCTAGACATGCTAGGGTGATGAAATTTGGATGGTAGGTAGCTCTTGTGCTGGGGAAGAAGTGACGTGAGTTTGGGCCCCCTAGCTGCTTGCTCAGGAACTGCAGGGGCGTTAATTGAAAAATGATTAAAGGCGGATAACTCAAGAACCGATTGATGGATCGTCGTGATTTTTGGCATGTAGGTAGCTGAAGTGATGCTTGACATAATAATATTACAATTATGCAAATAATAATGTAATTTGCATAATTAATGAGAAAATTCTATAAATCAGCTGCATTCCATGATAGGACTATTCAAGTTTGTGACATATGTAATTAAGAATAGCAGAAATACAGGGATGTATCAACTATGCAAATGAAGACTTTATTTGCATAATTAATGAGAAAATGTTATAAATACATAGTGGTAACTGCCTGGTATTTCATACTTGAGATATTTGAAAGTTATGTGAAGGTGAACATAATTAAACATGACTTATTCAAACAAGGAACTCATTTGCATAATTTATGAGGAAATGCTATAATGACATTCTTTGATAAGACAAGACTGTATTTTGGTGTAGAATATGATCAACAGATATAATTGATGCAATGTAGGATCCTATTTGCACAATCAGGGGGATTAATCTCTAATGTCTTAGTCATAAAGGCTAACATCATTTGGCGAAGGTATGAGATCGGGGAACTCTAATTGTTGATATTTTGTATCGCGTGAATATAATTATCTGGCAGTATTACGTTCTACACCCGGGACATTAACTATATGCTGAATACCGCCGTGTTAAAAGCTACATCTTGCGATCTTTGAGTAAATAGCATATAGCTATGTTAAATCAACATAATATATGCGTGTAATTGAATAAAGTTATTGTTTGGTTAAGACAATTTGAGACTTTTGTTGGCAGATTTGCTATATAACGATAATGTAACAGATTCATTTGTCACGTATTGATACAGTTACTAGTGAATTCTTTCATCAGTGACAACTTGGAAGGATAAGAATACTAACCTCCAAATTTTCGATGGCTATCAGTCCATCTTGTTCACGGAGTGGCCTAATCTCGCAAGTCTCGCAACCGATGCAAGTCTCGGGCCTAGTCTCGCGCTCTCGCGAGATTAGGCCACTCCGTGAACAAGATGGACTGATAACCATCGAAAATTTGGAGGTTCGTATTCTTATCCTTCCAAGTTGTCACTGATGAAAGAATTCACTAGTAATCCAATGTAACTATGATCTTGAAGTATAGCACCGCAATAGAAAGTACATAAACGTAGTATACAGCAGGTTGACATGTCAATAGTGACATCTAGCGACATGTAGTGAAAATGGTAAGAAAAAAAAATACATCAGTTGTGCTCATATTTTAAACGCTTCTTTTTGAAGACTTGCATAATCTAGTGTTTGCAAGCCCTTAGAAGTACGCCACAAGGTTTAATAATTGTATGGCAGGACGAAAAAAAAAAACCCAAGGACGTCAGTAGACACAATTGCCACAATTCTTGGCATTCTTATTTTCTTCCCGTTGTTCTAGCTACACTTTTTTTCAACCCTGTCAAAACTAATCCACAGCAAAGTAAATATATTATTTCCAATGCAGGTGGCATCTTGGTTTCTGCAACTGGAACTACACTCCAACCTATCGCGGGTTTGACTCTTTCTATGGCTTTTACAATGGACAGGATGACTACTACAAGCATACTGTTCGTAAGTGCCACTACGACCTAAAAAAAATGTTGTTCTTCCGGTTTCCCCGACCGACACTAACAAAAACAGCGCCGATCCTAGACGTTTTTTTATCGACCGATGGTTACGCTATAAGGTTTTCGATTTGATGTCTGACTTTCAGACCACATTTAACGCATTCTCAGAGGCATTTTTTTCTTAAAAAAAGTAAAAAGAATTGTGAAATATTGTCATGACACATTGTTCTCTATTTGTTGGATCATCTTTGGCGAAATTTAAAATACTTATAAAAAGAAAATCCCGTACATAAAGACCCCCTATTTTCTCTTTAGGAAAGCATGAAACCGGCAACGCAATATCAATTTTCTAGGCTACACTTACTAAATACCTACGTAACGATTACCAAATTTTTTTGAAATCTAATATTGCAAACTTCATAATTTACAAGATAGGATGGAAAAAAGTAAATATCAATGACAAACTTAGCTAATGAGCCAAGTCACAGTATGATGCTCTAAAGGCAATAAATACACCACATTGCACATAGTTTTACGTACTTTATTTGCGAACTCTGCCGATTCCTGTAAATCTTTAATAGCAGATTTATCGCTGTAATGGGATGTGTAAAAGGAGAAGGGTGTCTTTATTCAGTGACCAACCGACCAACCAACTTTTTAGGAAGAAGAATCAGAAGACTGAAGAGGTAGAGCACTAATATTGGGTATGTCTTTTTATTTCATCATAGAGGGCGGTCTGGACCTCAGGGACGACAAAGAAGTTGTGAAAACAAAGGACGGAGAATACAGCACCGTAAGTAACGTCTGTTTGTCACCATCGTCATCTTTCCTAAATAGTATTGCTTGTTTTTTTTAGAAGGAGGCCTACAATGTACTAGTGGGAGATTAGGAAATAATTCATTTCGATCATGTAATGGTGATCCTGATGATATGATGAACACGTAGTATAACTTCAGCTTGCTTCTCGTAATCAATTGTATAGATATTGCAAAAAAGATTTTTTAGTTGAAAATGCTCAAAACTTTCCTCTTTATTTTCACTTAAGCAGTGTAAGAAGGACCCGATGCCGCGTATTATATTTAGTTGTTGCAACGAATGTGAATAGACATGATTCAAGTTCATGGGCAACAGCTGTATAGAGAGATGTCTACATGCATGCACCAGCACCTCAGTGATGAAAGCGGATGATTAATGTGATTAAATAACCACTTGGATATTTCTTATCCTGTCTTACTTGATGTTTTGCTCAATGATTTGAATCTTAGTTTCTCACTGAAATGTGTTGTCTATTTTACAGTATTTCTTTACAGAACGTATTGTTGACATTATCGAGAAGAATCCCCTGAACTTGCCACTTTTCCTGTACCTGCCCTTTCAAAACGTGCACGAGCCTTTACAGGTAAGCACCATTGTTAACCCTCAAACACCCGAACTTTTTTTGTGACGCTAATGCCCGAACGGGGTCCAAATGGACCCCATTTGGTTTCTTTCACATTTATATTCCTTTTTGCTTTCTTTCAATGATCTTTGTACATATATTGCTTAAACATAGTAAGAGGTATATTTTGGCATGATTAAGTGTTTAAAAATTGTAGCTCATTATCATCATTTATTCAAAAATAGGATGATGCCTGCAGGCATGAACATGGAGTTGACCTCTGACCTCATATGATTGTAAAATTGTCAAACCTCAAGAAAACCTGATGACCTAATTCCTGAGGTTGAGGTTACTTGGCAAACTGCATAATATTAAAGCAATAATGCTTCCCTGAAGACATATTAAGGACATCCGAACAATTTTGCGTGTAGGAAAGTGCAAATACATGGCTGGGGTCCGTTTGGACCCCGGACGGTCTTACATCAGACTTCGGTTGTTATTTTTACAAATTTGTGCCGATCTCAAAAAAAAATTTAGGACAACTTGTAGAAGATGTTTTCGAATGAAAAAAAGTCAAATAGCACATAAAAATATACGCCTGGGGTCCAAATGGACCCCGTTCGGGTGTTTGAGGGTTAATAACAGCCATTTTCGTCAACATGTTTATGTGTGACATCTATATGTCTCAGTGGCCCTTGGTGTTTGCTTAACAACTTTAATCCACTTAAAATCTTTTTACACCTTCTTTTGCAGGTTCCGAAACGGTTTGAAGACATGTACTCTAACATTCAAAATGAAAACAGGAGAATTTTTCTTGGTATGTCTGTATTTACAAATCCCTATTTACATTAGGAACATGCACATGTTACCATATATTTATCTTAGTGACGATAAATACATATATAGCTAAAAAGTCATCCCAGTTGAAAAATACTCGAAAAGACGTAGAATATATAGGGGTGTCTTAACTCTTGTCCTTCTGGCATTTTTACACAATATTTTCCAATTATTTCATGTCTTAATCAGGTCACAGACCCCTGACTTTTTTCCCTCCAGTGGCATACTTACTTCCGCATTCGTTGCGTTTTGCTGCGGTGTGATGCGTTGCACTAGAAATAGCCCCCAAATCGTACCAATAACGGGTGCTATATATGGATGCTACTGCATGTATCTGTATCGGTATAGCTGGTATAACCGCCCTTCGGCGTAACACAACACCATGTGCATCACAATGTTTGTTGGGCGACGCAGGGCTAGTTAATTGCCCTTTCGTTTTGTAATTTGTCCACAGGTATGGTCAGCGCCATGGATGAAGCCATCGGTAACGTTACCATGGCGATGAAAAGGGCGGGGCTATGGGACAACACCCTTCTCATCTTCACAGCTGACGTAAGACGGTTTCATCACATATATAGATATGTTAGGTTTTATTCGACAATCTTTATCAGTCAATTATTATTAATAAGAGATATGATCTCTTATTCAACACATTTATTTTATTGTTTATTTTCTTTATGTAGTTTGCCATACATTGTACCATGTGCAATTGTCATGCAATAAAGTTCTTCTTCTTCATATTCAAAATGGCCGGCGGTTGTGTAGTCATGCAATGTCATTGGTGCGACCGCCTCTGAAATGGCCTATGAAATGAAATACACTACCAATTTCTTTTTTTTTCTTATTTTTCTTATTTTCTTATGTTGAGAAATATTTTCTTGCCAGGGAGATTTTCAAGAAAATTCAAGAAACATTCTTGAAAGATTTGGTATGTTGATTCTTACACAAAGAATGTTATTCTCCGTTTTTCTCAAGGAAAGAAAATATTCTACTATCATGCTCACCAACAAGAATCTTAAGAATTTTTTTGAATTTTAAGAAAATTTACTGTCTTTTTTTCTGCTACAAGAAATCTTTCCTTGTGTACAGAATGGTTTTCTTGCTTCAAGAACAGTTAGCCCTTAGTTCACGAAATATTTTCTTGTGGACAGAATCGTTTTCTTGCTACAGAAGAATTTTCTTTCTACGGGGATTCTTAAATTTCTTGTTCAAAGAATAATTTTCTTGCTATAGGATACATTTTCTTTGTACAAGAAAGAAGAAAGAAAAACAAGAAAAAGCATTTTTGGTAGTGTATTCGTGACATATTTCAACCCAAACAAGCAATACATTTTGATAACATTTATTTTTCAACTTTGCTTCTTTTTAAGATAAGTTTTGTTTTAAACTTTTTTTTTTCCAACAGAATGGTGGTTGGCCACTTTTCAGTGGAAATAACTTCCCTCTTCGCGGTGGGAAAATCACCCTGTGGGAGGGGGGCACCAGAGCGGCAGCATTCGTACATGGCAACATGCTGCAGAAAACAGGCTACACCAGCAACGAGTGAGTTCATATTCATAGATCTGTAAGAGCAAGAGAGAAGGTGGGTGGGTTGGGGGGATGGATATGTCAACCTAAAGGTTTCGTCTATTTGGGCTATTTGGGCTGTTAGGCCATGTTGATTTGATGATATGGATGACATCCTCCGGGAGCCCAAAAATTGATGGGCGCGTGCGAATAAAAAAAAGAAAAGCAAAAAAAAAAGTTGTTTTTATTTTAAAATGTACGCGGTCATAAGGGTTGAACAAATGGGACAGAATATGGTTTGGCGAATAATATAGTCTTCAAGTTCATTTCTTTACAATTTCGTCTTTTTTCGTTTGATTTTGGCATTCTACGACATTGGTATAGTTTTTATTTATTATTTTTTGTAACTTTCGGTATATTTTTGCTCATTTTGCAACTGTTTTGTACGATTTACAGTATGGTTGAAAACTTTTATTACTCCGTGAAGGAGGTCAGGACCTCCGGACGGAGTGTTGTGAACGGCTGATTTTTCATGTTCGCAGTCAAAACACTGGGTTCTCTTTGTGTAATCGGCACGCAATTTAATACGCCGTCTGCGGGAATGCCCGTGTTGATGCACGAATGTGTATTTTTGCCGTTGCTGCTTTCGCGGTCAATGTAATATTGCAGACGCACCCCTACAATTACTAGGCGAATTGGAATGGTCCAGAAAAACGCGTTGTTTGGAATAGCAGTGGGGGGGGTGGAACTTCATGCAGATACGGGGTGGTTTTGATAAGTGGTTCCAGATGTTTTAGCCCGTGGTTAAGAGATGGCCAGTTTTTTGGAAGATGTTCGCAGCCAAAACGCATTCTTCCGTACGTCGCATTTCTGTCTAATTTCGCATGTGGTGTGGCATTATGTCCGGGATGATGCACGTCTTTTTATTTTTACCGTAGCTGTTTTGATATTGGAGTAAATGCTTATTTTCGAAACATCCCCATGTCGTTCAAAATGTTTTCGTCCGTTTATGTGACCGGTAGTTGTAAGTCGCGGTCAGGCTGATGGGGACGGAAATGTGGGGTGGTCAGTGGTCAACATTACGAAATGTAAATACCAATGACGTAATCCTATCGATTTCAAACTGGTCGGCTTTGGCGACCTAGTGGCGGCGTATATTTAGTCACGTAGCAACTGGCCTGTCGTCCTAGCAACGAGCATGCTGGCCGCTTCTCTGTACACATGGCCAATATTTTTGGGTTGGGCCGCTCCATAGTGCTAGTGGAGCAGCTCTTTGTAAACATGGACAATATTTTTGAGCAACCATTCAATGTGTTCTGCCTCGTGGTCGGATGTGGTCTGGGGCTGGTAAACCGCACATACTAGTAGATCGGGTAATTTTATGATTTGCTAGTTGTAAAGGCGTCTTGTAGTATGAGCCGGTATATGAAGAAGTAGCCTGTGTTACACAATCATGCTTTTGGCCGGATTGATGTGCAACTGTTACTAATTGCAGGGACTACGCTAATGCCGACCAGTCGCGCTGTCCTGATACACCGCGAATGTGCGAGTGTTCCCTGTAGACAGTCCCGGGAGTCATTTTTTTCGCACATTCCAGGAGCCAAACCAAAATACGTTCATGAACCGAGTCCAAAAAACCGAAACGTGAAAATCGGATGATCGGACCTGATGTACATTTCTCTTTCTGTAGATTGTACACACAATACACACATCTTTAGATAATCTGGCCATGGTAGGTAAAAAAAAAGAAGTAACCCTGAATCATACTAGATTTAAATAGCGTAAATGAATGTTTATGCGTTCAAAACAAGAAAAGAAGTTATTTCCCGGTATTAATCTCTTGAAACACGGCGCTGAATATTGACGCAAAAATATTTCGGGCATCGCGCGCCCTTCCCCGTTGTTTAGACTATATGCAAATCCCGCGTCACGTGTCGCATCTCTGATTGGTTGTTGCGTCTTAAGATGACTGAGCCGACGCGCGTTTAAACAATTTTTCTTTGTTTGATTTATCACACTTCACAGAGAATTGTCGCCAATGGCTACTTCTTTTTGTTGCAATATATAATACTTCACGGAGAATTGTCACCTATGGCTTCTTGTTTTTTTTGGAAACGGCCGAAAATCCATGCGCGCGCGGATGTCATCCATATAATCAAATTAGCATGGCCTAATTCTGGAGAGAAGACTATCCAAGGACAACTTTTGCTGTAATTCATGATAATAAAAAAAAACATTTTTTTTCTGTCTGAATTTTAGTATACTTCTCAGGGGAACGTGGTCAATAGTTCCCAGCAATATAGGTATTTGTTTCACTAAATTACAGGATGATCCATGCAGTGGACTGGTTTCCAACGATCCTGGCGGCCGCCGGCGGAACTGCAGGTATGGCTTTTTGGTTGACTGCACGGCGTTTAACCTGAATATTTTATTCTAGATCATTCTCTTTCCCTACCTTTCTACTTGACTATTCTAGATCTGATACTTTATGACATAAAGATGATGAAGATAAATTAATATTTACATACTTTAAATAAAAACTTATATAAAACTTGTATATTAATATTCTGTATAAAAGTATGCAGTATTTCATTACACAGAACTCTATTGCGTAACAGTTGTAGCAGGTACAACGTATAGCAAAACACATACATACATACATACATAGTAGGTGATGCTAACAGTACTTAATACATGTACGTTTAATAGATGGTATTTCTAACCGTTCTAAGAATCGGATCTACTTTCATATACAATGTACAACAATGAACGTGTACTAATTAAAGTAATCTAACTCCATTATTAGTAATAAAATGTACATGTATAATATTGTGTCAGGAACGTATTGCATTTTCTCCTCTTGCTGCAAATGATGACAGAAGACAGAACTGTATTTTGATTTTGAAAATACCAGACTATGTTGCGTTTTATTTGTTTGGAGACTCCGGTATAGATGGCGTGAGTCAGCTGGACACCCTTGTGTCAGGAAAGCCCTCCCCACGTACGGAGTTCGTCTACAACATTGACGACACCTTCCCTACAAAACAGGGAGCCATCAGGTTGGACTAATCTGCTTTATGATAGTCTTACATAGTCTGCACTTGTAGATCAGATCTCAATATCAGATTTGGTGGACGCCCTGCTATCTTGAGCTGTTTGCCTGAATGTTCTAAGAAACATTACAAATTGATATAACATTCCCAGATTGACACTTCGCCATTGATATCAATCAATCAATTGGTTTATCAAACAATTAATGGTTGGTGTATAATAAAAAATGGACCGGGCGTAGAAGAAATTAATAAAGAAGTGGCCTATTTGGTTAGCCATTGTATGGGTAATACGAAGCGTAATTTATGAGTAGCATAATCTACTGCTAACAATGGATTCAACATCAATACCGAATATTCGGTGAATAATAAGACTAACATTACCGGATCATCAGTAAGTTTTATTTTCTTGTCTCCCAGAGTTGGGGACTATAAGTTGATTGAGGGATATGCCGGTAAACCTGACGGGTGGATCCGTCCCGATAACCTGACTAACGGTCACCAGAACAGCGGTGACCCGATCACGGGAACATGGCTCTTCAACCTGAAAGGTACGGCGTCAATTGTTTTCTAGTAGATATTCAACAGAGCATTTGCATATGATGGTACAGTCGCCAGTATGGTTGCTTGTACTTGAAAGACGCAATTTTCATGATTATAAAACTTTATTGAACAACAATTGGTAGCATATACAGCATATTGGTAGTATATATATATGGTATTGCTAAATTTCATTTCATTTCATTTATGATACATATCGCCTTGTCGGCGTTTTTCAATGATACCTGGGGGGTAAACCCCAACATAGTAAAATACAAAGTAACTGAGGATAAAATACAATAATAAATAAGAAGAAAATAAACACTATATACAAGTGTGCAATTAATCATAAGGTAACATAAAGAATCCAACCAACATAAATAAGTTAATGCGAAAGGAATTTGCATTTAACTACATGTAACAGTTCTACGGAGGTGACAGTTCTAAGAGTTCTAAAAAGCTTATAGTTCTAAAAGCTTTTATAGATAACAATAAAGACACTTTATCTATATAATCATTATCACGGTGGTAAAATCTGGGCTGAAAAGTTCCCACATGTCATAGAACCCGAACTGTGTTCGATCGTGTTCGATCTGGGGAATTCGAATCGAACCCGCGTTCTATTTCGGGGTCACCTGCGGTCATTTACTATAAAGCGGCAAAACAAGCCTTTCTACCTCCGTGCATTGCAACAGATAAAAAACAACACTTTTCTATAGATACAAACTGTTTCCTGGACAGTACATGTCCGCTATTATTTTTGGTGGACATGTAAGATGTAGCGAAGCTACTGTCGTATCCTTGAGTGACCTTGAATACTGTAATGATTCTTTACGCTAGTATGAATAACACAATGCACACTTTCTGGCGATATGACATGTCTCCAAAACTCGTTCAAACCTGGAAACATGGAGAGTCAAACATACCCCATTTACGGCTCAAAATGACTGTAACGGTTGTCCCGAAAATCGTGTTTTAGGGATTTTTGAAAAATGGCCTCAATTTTAAATTATGGGTAATTTAGTGAGAAAAATGTAAAAAAATGCCATTTTTTCACCAATATGTCGACAAAAACTAGACTTAAAATCAGAAATTAAAAAATCCCTAAAAGACGATTTTTTGTCTTATTCCTAGTCTGCGAAAAATATAAAAATCGGGGATCTGGGGTTATATACGTAGCCAGGTTTGAACGATGTTTGCCTAAAAACGTGACATGACCTGTGCTCGGAAACCCGAAAATAATCGTCTTTCTGAGCGAAATTTTAAAAAATCATTGATTTAACATAAAAAGCTAACATTTAAAGGATGTTAAGACGATAATTTCATTTTAATTTGACGAAATTTACCCCTGAATATTATTTGTGTATTTTCAAATATTTTACGGGTAGTCCAAAACAGGCCAAAATAGCGTGTTGTAACCCGATACCTTTTAGAACGCGCATAGCAATGGGAAAGAATGCCGTAGTGACAGACCGCCGTGTATGGTAATTATGTGACTCAAATTACTAAAAAAAACAGATTTTCCAAGAATCTTGCAGGCTTATTAACCATCCAACATGGCGGACCATACATAGCGTCACAGTCACGTGGTTGTAAACAGCCAATAACGGTGTAGCAATCGTGTCTGTTTCAGACGACCCTACAGAGCACAACAACCTTGCGGACACCATGCCGGACAAGCTGAGGGAGATGCAGGCTAAACTACAGGACTACAGGAAGACCATGGTACCGGCAATCTGGCCCAAGAACGACCCCAAGTCGAATCCCAAGAACTGGGATGGGGCTTGGACTCCAGGATGGTGCTAGACAACCACTGTCGCCTTTCGTAAAAGGCCGTACTGTTAACAGCAATAATTTAACAAAATCGACACGTTATAGTGTATTTGAAATATATATTTTAAAGAAAAAATGAAATTATTTTGGATGGAATAAATTGAATTATGGAATTTATAATGGAAATAAACTGTTCTCCAACACAAAACACGAAAATAACTCACCAGGAAATTTTCGACAGAATCGCTCAGTCTTCATCAGCTATATGACTCAAATGCTGTGGACACGTGACTTTTGGCCACATGTGACGTCACCTGGGTCATAAAGCTGTTGGCCACATGTGACGTCAGCTGGGTCATAAAGCTGATGAACAGTTTAATTTACATTATGCATTTCACCAACTCAGATGAACTTTCATATAATAAATGGAATTTGTTTCGATGGAATATATAATGAGTAAATTGATTTTTTTCCAAACACTGAGCTCCGGGTTTGTGCATCTGTCCAGACACGTGGGTGATAAAAGACTGATAGGTAGAATAATAATACCGGTCAAAGATGGGGGGTTAAAATCATCTTTATTTCAATATACAAATATATACAAGATTTATTTATTTCCGTCATTTTTATACAGGGTAACCCAATTCAGTGATGGCACTGCTTTTCAACGGGGCCCTGTATGACACAGCACAGTACAACAATCACATACAAATAATAACATTAGCATACAAGATGACTCGTTGAAGTACACCTAGGCCAACCCTTTATCTCATTATAATTAAGAGGAGGGCGCAAGGTAAGTAAAATGTAACAATTAACTGTGTGCATCGGACATTAAAATTTCGATTAAAATTGTTTTCTACACATACATTTCATTTATACGTATACTTACAAAAATGATTTATAGATCTTAAAGATTAAAAGAAAAGAATCAAGCCTGTTGCATCAATTTTATCTTTTACAAGAGAATAGCCCTGAGGTACTTTCCTGTGTGTTTCTAGCGCAGTATATGGTATAAGATGCACAAAGTGCGCACTTCCCCAGTCTACTTTTAAGATGTCTGACTTCACGGTCCTTATGACTGACTAGGCAGAGTGACTTCAGTTTCGCAGTGTTCTCACTGTTAATCCATCCTCTACTTCCAACTTCAACTGTAACGAGTGTAGCTCTGTACCCACCATGTACGTTTATTTAATTAATCAGGCCTTCGTACTTGGCAGACTTTCTGTCATCAGCGTGCTGTGCATTCTGTTCATAAAATTCGACCAGGGGCATCAGAAATTAGAGGTCGAAATGGCGAATTACGGCTAGAGATCCCGGCTACCTTTATGTTAACAATACAATATCCATAATATAATAAACACTAATAAGAAAACTATCATGATCAAATTTGAATAAAAAGATTTTATTTATACATTCACTAAATCAGTTTCGCAATTTTGCTAAACTCAAACTATGTTTTGTCGAAAACAAGAAACATGTCTATCTGAATCTCTAAGTGAATTTCTGATCTTCCTTAGGTCAGATTCGCTGAGACAAGCGTTACATTTACTACTCGCTCAAATTTACTTTTAAAACGCAATGTTTTATATAGTTTGACTGGTGCACACCTCCAACAAGTAGAATGTGATATAAAAGCCACTATTTGTAGATATAAACTATCATTGGAAGTTGATTATGGCTTTTAGTGATAGAAGGCGTGGCATAATGTTACCATTCTACATCACTATTATTGTCGTGAGGTAAAGCCACAAATACTCTTTTTCTTAGTATTTGTCTGCAGTACCAAGGGAAACCACTGGGGGACCGAAATCCCATCATTTTCAGTTTTAGTCACACCCTACTAACGCACTAAGTATGACACCAACCCATCTAGCCGTTCTTGAGTTATTTTGTTGACAAACGGACGGACAGACGCAACTTAAAATATAACCTCCATGACATTTCATGGAGGTAACGATATGAAAGAACGCTTAATATGTCGCACTTAATAGACCCAGATTATAATGATTTTCATAATAAAGCTGCAAATTTGAACATCTCACTAATTAAAGCTATGCTGACCGTTAGCCTGTTTTGTTGTTACAGGCTGTTTATTCTGAGTGTTGGAGAATATTGGATACTATTGGTTTTGTTATAAATGTGTGCACACCTAATTTCCTCTTTAAAAAAAAAAGATCAGATCACAATACAATACTGATACAACCTCTCATCTTGAATGTTATAATATCTAGACCTGCGAATAAATGGCTCTTGGAGCCACACCACCCCCCCCCCCCCTGCAAAATAATCACAGACAAGCAGATGATGTTAATTTTTTATTACCAAATTTCAAAACTCAAAACCACAATGTTAGTTTTGTCCTTTTAATACTTCACCTATAATATAAACTTTGCGTATTAGAGATAACGGTGTTTCTTTTGGTCTGGATACAGGGTATGGTTGCTGGATAAAACATCCACTAACCAGTAGAGCATTTTAACAATCTCCTTTTTAATTAGGCGAGAAAGGACGCATCAGTAAAACACATTTTCCTTTGGATTCTGATTTCCATTTTGCAGTTAGATACATGTAGAAAGAAAGGGGGAAGATTATATCTTATATATATTTTGTATATCCTCGCAGTAGGGCCTATGAAAAAAATATTGTGTTTCCTTTTTTCAGTCCTGAGAAAATTTGGTCGGTAAGTATTGATTATCTTTTTTCTTACTATTTTTAATAAACGTAGGATATCTCTAGTGATCAAACTACAGATTAAAACGTCCATGATAACACTTCCATTTTCAAGGCAAATGTATGAAAAACGATTATTGATTGTTTCCTTCATTCAGTTGTCAGATCGTGGAGCTAGATAGCGGATCAGCTCTTAAAAATTTTGTCCCTTGCAGGGGTTAAAGTCTAGGGTCGGCAGTTATTTCAGGGGTCGGTCGGGTAACAGGAAACGCAATATTTTTTCTAGACCTAGGTAAAACAAGACATGGTGAAATCCACCATAAAGTCATACAAAGTAAACAGTAACGTTAAAAAACGTCCGCAACCACAATAATAATAATGATATTAATGCCAATAATAATGATAATAACATAATCAATAGCGTATGCGTTATGCCTGAAGCGTACGCGTCGTTTTTAAAATACCGTATGGAAGCCTTTACATGTATCCTATATAGCGATCTATTGACCATGACTAGATGTGTTTTGGTATAGTCCTAAATGTGTCTAAAACTACAACATCGCTTGATTTGCTTACATCAATGCAAATAAATGCATCCGTCTTTGTTGGTGACCTAACGACGCCACTGCTGAAAATCATGTCATTACTTCAAAAAGTGAGTTCATAAAAAATGTCAAGAATTCCTATTTTAGGACAGCAATGTCAAGTTGTTGTTGTTGTTGTTGTTTGTTTGTTTTTTTTTTGTTCTCAAAGGTCTTAAGTCGAAAGCAGATACATGTGAGGGCAAAGAAAAAAACCTACATTTTCATAATTAATTACGTATACATCCAGCCGATTATTAAAATATATGGCTTAATACACCCTTAAATCTCCTAAAGGATTAACATCCAATCACATTGCTGGTATCTATCTTTAGAATTAAAAAAAGTTTATTTCGCAATTTCTGTTGTATTAAGGCCACCAAGGTTAATGCCGTTAAACTATTGGTACCGATGTAACCAAAAAAATGAAAGAAGGATAACAGTACACCCGACAAAAATGTTATCGGGTTTGTAGAACTTGGGATATTTCGGCTTTTCTTTTACATGACCAGTATTGAGTGTCTAACCCTACAGTTTGAAGCTATGCCACGTTTTGTATTGTGTTCTCGACACAAAAGCGCCACCATACCGGCTGCATATGTATAGCGGCGAGAAGCAGAACTCCAGCCAGAAGCTCTGAGGAAGGTGTCCAATAAGCCCTTCCCCACTAGGATAGAATGATCCAGATCTAGCCAAATAGATTGTTTTTCTTTATCTGGCTTCAATCTGAATCGAAGGAAATCTATTGATCCGAGTAATTCTATCCTAATAGAGAAAGGGCCATACTCATCGATCGAATCGTTTAGGTAAAAGACAGTACTAATTGTGTAAAAAAAAACCTTGATCGTCGTGCATCATTTAAAAATTGGCAGTTTAGATGCAAACAGCACAATGATCACCGATGCAAGTGTAGGTAAACAAGTGATGTCCGAGGACCCAGCGCCACTGGTAGTCATTGGACAACACCCGGCTCCTGTCGGGAGACCATCTCCTCCATAACCAGCCTTACAGGTACAGCTAGCGTCCAGTGCAGGGGCGGGGTTGTCTGTACAGGTGGCCCGGGGATGACAGGGGTCCAAAACACAGGCGTCGAAATCTGAAGATAGATGGTCAGCATTATTGCAAAATTTTAGGGGCGAATGCGGTGTTAGGAAGAGGTTAGTTAGTTTGTAATAACCCTAGAATTTGGCTGGTTTCAAATTTGAATAATCCTGCTGTCAATACCAGAATTTTTCTTTACACTATTGACATGATTTTTCCTGTCAATAGTGCAGAATTGTACTCTATCGACAGGACCATCCTGTCAATAACAGAAAAAAATGCACCATTGACAGAGAAATAAATGCACCATTGGCGGGATGGTCCTGTCAACAGTATATTTTTTCTGTTATTGACAGGACATCCCGTCAATAGTGCAAAATTTTCCGTTATTGACAGGACCATCTTGTCAATAGTACACATTTTACTGTTGATAACAGGAAAAATCCTGTCAATAATGGAAAAACTTGTGTTATTGACAGGACCATCCTGTCAATAGCAGAAAATTTTCCACTATTGACAGGACGATCCTGTCAACAGTGCATTTTTTTTCTGTTATTGACAGGATGGTCCTGTCAATAGCTTTGAGGAGTACAAAGGAAATTTTACGATAAGCCGCCATTTTGCGGCATTTATGAGTCGGCAGTTTGTATTGAGTTCCAGCCGAGTTCCGGAGTTCCCTGAAGGCTCAAAAGACATGGCTTTTTTTTTTTGAGAACGGGCGAAAATCAATGCGAGCGCGGATGTCATCCATAAAATTAAGACAGTTTGGCCCTAATGGCTTCTACAAAATAGAATACCATGAATTACAACTGGTGTTTTATATCGTACATTATTAAATGTAGGTTGAAATATGGCTGTTTTTTGCGTAAATGCCCTAATTACCTGAACATCCTGTCCCGTTGGCCAGACCATCTCCTGTCAATCCAGTGTTACAACTGCAGCTGGCGTCCAGTGCAGGGGCGGGGTTGTCTGTACAGGTGGCGTTTGCATGACACGGGTTGGCCACGCAGGCATTGATGTCTACAGATGGTGACATAAGACAAAAACGTTTAACTCGATGCAGATGGGTCCCCATTATTTGCAATGAGATCTTGAAAAGGGGGGGGGGTCGGTATGCATTTACAAGATCCTTTGACTCAGTGCTCTCGTCACACTTTCTGAAAGTAACGTGTAACTGACGCGTGGTAGGGTCATCAGTAATTATGAAGTAGACACTAGGACAGTGTTGTGCACTACCCAAAACCCATAAATTTGAGAAAAGGTTGGGCATTACCTCTTCATACATAGCTATAGCTATTGACTATTACTTTTTATTATGTGGATTTTGAACTAATTTTGGACTCTGTGTAAATGTTGTTCATCTTTTGTTCTCGCGGGTTGGACAAGCAGGCGTTGATGTCTAGACGCGGTAAAAGTAAAGAATAACTATCATGTAAAAAAAAGGTAAAACTAACAACAATTCAGAACATGTAGCAAGTTTTTACTATAATTTCCAAAGACAAAGGGCACAGACTTTCTGCAAACTATGATCCACTGCTGCTTGAGTCACAATTGTTGACCGCTGGTAACATTATAAAACACTCTGTCTGGCATTTGAAACCATGCTTATTACTTGATTAGGTAAAAGGAGTGATTGACTCTTCCCCACATGCAAAAGATATAATAAATGGTTTATTGGCCAAACATCACCCATGCAATCGCAGCCTTATAGTGCTGAATTGATGTAGGGTTTACAATGGTACAATAATACAAATGGCAATAATACCCATAATAATACACAATGTCCAAAATGCAGGCATAAAATTACAATAGCTACAGTTTACGTGGTTTGCTAAAATGCCTTACCAGTACATCCAGTTCCGTTAACGAGTCCGTCTCCAAAGTATCCTGCTTTACAGGTACAGTTGGCGTCAAGTGCAGGGGCGGGGTTGTCTATGCATGTGGCGTTTTCGTGGCACATCGAGCAGGCGTTGAAGTCTGTATATGGCGATACAATATATAAACATGTATCATTTTAATAACCTGTACTAAATCCAGAAAAAAAACGCAACCGTGCTCGTGACGTAAGACTATGGCCTCCAATGAGATCCTACACGGTGACAGGACAGGACGTGCCCCAAATTTCATTCTAAAATAGACATAAATAATCTAATATTTGTGGTCCATTTTCTAAAATAGGCTTTTTTGAAAACTCGAAACGCAACAACAAACCGTCTACTTTAAGTTTTATATGATATGATATGATATGAATCTTTATTGCATGTTCTTGCCCAGATGGGCTAAATGCACAAGAGGGTATGCAGTATGCAAAAACATGAGTATTTCATACTGAAATGCTATGTTCTAATTCAAAGTGATAAGAATCTATATATTACAACAATACTATAGACTACCTATCATCTACTGTTAGTTGCCCTTTCTTCTCTCATTTTGCAACATTTAGAAACATAATTACATAGTTTGTCTACTGTACATTCGTTCTTGCATGATATCAAGTGTTTGAACATGTCCTGCTTTGACATTATATTTAATATAAATGATTTATGTTCACCAGTATCACAGCGATGTCCGGCATATCCTTGATGGCAGTTGCATGTGAAGTTGTTGATTCCATCAACACAGCTGCCATGAACACACGGATCGAAGACAGCACAGGCGTCAATGTCTGTGACGTAGAAAAGGGAGAGACGAAGCAGATGCTATCAAAGTGAGTCGGACATTGACCCTTAGCCGACTGAATGAAGTGGTCAATTTGGACGCGCGCGATTCAGCATTTTCTGACAAATAACTGTTAAGATTACATATTGAAAATATTGCATTGTACCGTAATAAATGGCCAAATATATCGTTTTACCAATAAAATAAAAGTATAGTTTAAACAGGGTACAATTAGATAATACAGTGCGCCATTTTATTCTACTTACATAATTGCATGTATGGTTAATTTTACAAATGGGGCCTTTGAAAGTGCTTTAGCAGAAATTTGGGCGTGAGATCTGTTTCGACGATTATCTTTTTTGTACTGGCATCTTTTTAACGATGTCTAATTTAATGATGTTCGAGCAAATTTAATGCTGCACTGCTGCCATCGAAACATCTTGGAGGTTATACAAAAACATGCAATTCTGCAAGAACCGGTATATTAGTTTTCCTAAATTTGCAGAGTAAGATTTGATTTTCTAGAAATTGAGAGCTTACCTTTGGTTTCTGCACAGTAGGCGAGGTTACAATAATCATACGGAGGTCTCCGCAGTTTGTACACGAAAAAACCGGCACGGCATGCCCTGACCTCGATGTCCTGACTATATCTACATCGGTTATAACTTTCATTGCCTCTATACGCACACACAGTGCGAACTACTGTGCCCTCAGTGATGTTCGGATGTTGTCCATCCATCCACATCGGCCAATCTGTACCACATCTGTTTTTTGAAGGGGGTGCTTCTTCGGGCATGGAAAATCCGGCAGGTTCCATGAAGCGGTACCATTTCGTCTCAAAGCCGCTGTCACATTTGTTCTGCTCACCATCATTAACTTGTCCGATATTTCTCCAACTCTCATTTAGTGGTGTATAGTTATCGCAGGGCCCAGATCCGTTTAGACGTACTAGAACAAGAAAAGAAAATTAATTATAAATTAATCTACATAAAAATTACGCCAACTAGTATAAGTGGTACGTATTACTAACCATTTTTAACCATGCTTGTTTCAATGTGAGCTTATACAATATATGTAAGGTTATCACATCATGTTTTAGGAAAAAAAAATCAACTTACTATTGCTGATACAAGTCAGAGAGACATCTTCACCGTGACCACAGTTATGTTTACCGAATCCGTTGTGGGTACAGTTTTGCAATCGTGACTCGTTTCCAGTGCATTGAAGATCATCCAGAATAATAGGTGCGCTGACCATTTTTCCATATGTGTCAAAGGCGTAGACATCATACTTCTCGACACCCGAGAAACCCAGCTGACGACACGCCACATTGCCATCTCTCCTATCAAAGCCGTCATCGCACACCGTCCCCCACTCTCCATCGTGGAACACTTCTAATCTGCCCTCGTGGACTTCTGATCCACCAACTAGCCGGATACCTAATGACTCTTCGTGTAAAACAAAATATTTGGGGTTAAATCATGGTTTTGATAATCTTAAAAACAGTAAAACAGTTTCGGTTAATCTACTCCGTGCATCGCAGACTCTTGCCGCCCATAGCTTTAGTGGCCCCTTTTAATGTTCGGGCTGTAAATATATATCTATATCTATAGTTAATATATATCAATATCTATCTATATATCTCTATCAATCTTTATATCTCTCTATCTCTATCTCTCTCTCTCTCTCTCTCTCTCTCTCTATATATATATATATATATATATATATATATACACACACACACACACACACACACACANATATATATATATATATATATATATAGTANAGAGAGAGAGAGAGAGGA